ATGATTAAAATGAGACATCTCCCAGCTCTACATGACCTTTCTTTGCAAAATTATAGAATTTATAAGAAAAGCCCCAAATTGTCCGTTGTCAGCTCAAAACTGCAGAAATACGGAAAAAATTAATTTAAGTGCCTTTCTTGTAAATTGTATAACTTTGCAAAGAAAGGTCATGTAGAGCTGGGAGATGTCTCATTTTAATCATAAATTTGCGCGCTACAATCCTGTCTGATTATAAAAGGTTTTGCTCATTTTTTGGAGTTTCTGAAAAACTGGTTTTCCAGAAGACCAGATCTTCGAAGGGCTAAGGGGAACTCCCATATTCATATTCGGAATCAGCATGATCGATAACCTATAATCCACTAGGTTTCGATTAAAAAGCGATTGAACACTTGGGAACGTTCCCTCGTCAGTTTTATCATACTAAGTTTATCAAATGCCCCTCACAGATACCTTATTCAATTCTCTTGTAAATGCATATAAGTACTATTGAACATATATTCCGATCTTTTTTTATCTTGAAATAATCTGGAGTACTTCAAGGTTTGTTAGCACTAATTAAATGATGAATTGAACTAAATTAAAAATAATGATAATAATATCAATTGCCGAATCAATATTGTTATTACAAGAAGGGATATTCTAATAAACGAACAAATATGACCGGTTTTGAATCACCAACCGCATATTAAATATAATGCGTTTACACTAGACTTGTCTGTAACAAAAATATAAAACGTCAGCAAAAAAAGGATACTATACACCCTTTATCACCTGAGCTACAAAAAACAATCAAACACTTTATTACATGAAAATTTTAATGTTAAACCTGTATTGGTTACATGTAACAAGCTGTTCAAAAGTTTCGTAGTTGTGAACGAATGCTGATGAACATGTGTCTGTGTGTACGCACGTAAGAAAGAGAGAGAAAGAGAAAGAAATATACTTCATTTTCTTTCTCTCTCTCTTTCCATCTACGACGAAAACTATAAATGAAAAACAAAAAAATAAGATCAAACAATTTCACATTTACAAATGAATGTGAATGTGAACACATCAGCTGAAATTATGTATTTTTTTCTACAAATAACAAAAAAAATTTTTTTTTTATGTATTATTTTTTAAGCTCAAAGACTAGCATGATGATTATTCATAATAACTGGTACATGTTCTCCACGACCATTATGCGTTGGCATAACACCGACAGAAGATGTTAATGTTGAATTTGAATGAGTTTGAGCTGGTGTTGCGGTAGCAGATAAAGCAGCGGCTAATGCATTACGTTCTTCAATAGATAATATTGCCATGCATGTCTGGAATATTGTGGGAATAGTCTGAAAAATAAATAAGACAAATAAACATTAAATCTCTTTGTGTGTTGATATAAAACTTTTGTTAAAATTTTTATTTTACGTACTTGTACATGTTTTAAAATAAGTACCATTCTTTGTCCAACAATTGAATTAACTTCAATGGATGATTTTGAAAAGCTATCAGCAAATAATCGAATCACAGCTGGTACATTACAATTTTCAGCACCAACAATAACAGGATTATTTCTAAAAAAACAATCGAAAATGCGTATAGAGGATGAAAATTGATCATAACTAATTTCATTTAATCAATTTATAGAGAGATTATATAAAAAAATGTCATTGTTCTTTTTCTCGTTTAAAAATTTTGACGTACTTTGTTTTTGACGTAGGAGTTCTCGTTAACATACATTTCAGGAGAATTTAATTCTAATGTTATACATTTCTGAAGACCAACTAGCTTAGAAACTTGAATAGATTATTTATTTACAAACAGCTCAGATCGTAGTTTTTCTTCAATTTACTACTCACTCCATTATGGACACAGGCATTTGTCCGAAGATAAAATAGCATCTGACGCAAATTTAATCATCACAGCTGTTCTTTCTCTTTAAAACAACAATTGCAAACTTTTATATCTTACTAAAACATATTACGTTAATAAAAACAATATGCACACTTACGATTCAATTAGATCACATAAATAGCCATATACATGAGGAGTTTCTTCAGTATCTTCATGAATTGGTAACCAACTAAACCAAACTTGTAATAGCTAACAAAATTGAATAAAACAGAAATGATGCAAATCACAGAGAATAGCAAAAAGAGAGAAAACAGTGATTTTATTTGTCATTTGTCAACATTACACTAACCAATTGACTATAATCTTAATTGATCTTAACTTTGTGGACAAATGCAGTTTTCTTCAGGAATACGAAGTAATGAGTTGTTTTGTTATGTTAACTAAGTAAATTTTCAATCTGATTAAATAACTTTTAAAAGTTCGTTCTAGACTTAAAAGACGCAGAATTTTGTATAGTATTTAATGATATGTTTGGCTTAGAATATATCATTATGCTTTCTTTGAAACTCCGTCAAAAACTATTACTGGAACCTAAAAACTAATGTTTTTTCGAAGTAGAGTACTCTGTCACATATAGTCATAAAAATAATAGCTTATCCAGGTTTCCAAACTCTACAAAACCTATGAAACAGGTAAAATAATAACGTTTAGTTTTTATTAGAAAAGAGAGTTTAATTTAATTCCAGTTTTCTTTGGAAAATAAAAAGTTTGAAAAACAAAAAACACATTTAGTTAATTTTACAATCGTTTTGTAGTTAGTTACTAGAGACTCAGATAGAATTTACGGTTGTTAAGTAAAAGTTACTAGATACAGTTTACGTTTAAAAGGATGAATCATTTCTGATAGAATGAAAAGAAATACTTAATGTAGAGAAACAGAACATGTGCATTGCACAGTGATATCGTGCTTCGTTCTTGTCGTGTGAAAATTATCGTTCTTTGTTCGATAAGAACAAGGAATAGTAACATCCTCATACGGTGTGACGGAGTTGTCTTGCTTGTCGTGCCTTAACTCTGTCTTTCTCGAAGAAAACCACCTGACGAGACCCTTGAGAAAGGTGAAAACCGGTCGTAGTAAAATCTTTTGATTCTTTCAGAAATGAATTCTGTCTGAGTCTCTAGTAACTAAAAAGCGGTTGTAAAATTAACCAAATATAGTAGTTATTCAAGTCGAGTTGCATATTTATATACAAAAAACACATATTACATAGTTTTTTTCTATAGCTCAGAACACAGAGAATTCTTTGCACTTTTGTGGGTATGCTCGATTAAACAAGCCATAGCCTCAATGAGAGAAATTTTATTAGCAGAAGGATAAGATCAGGCTTTCCGGTTGTTCTTAGGGATGGAAGAGGGTAAAAATTTTGCTCCGCAAAAAGTAGCTGGCGAAAAAAGTTTTCGAAATTTTTGACAGAAAGTTTCTGATGGAAAAAGGTCAAAGATTTTGCTAAAGGTCCAAAAAAATTTTTTAGGGAGAGGCCAGCCTTCCCTGGATAAGATAGTTCTTAAGGAAATTTACTATTTTGAAAGTTTCAAGAAAGTATAATGATGTATTCTAAGCCAAACATATCAGTAAAACCGATACAAAATTCTGCATCTTCTAAGTCTAGAATGAAGTTTTAAAAGTTATTAAATCAGATTGAAAAAAAAATCAAGTTTCTCAATCTGAGTTTACGCCAAAGGACTGTAGTTACTGCCGAAAAATGTTTCACTTTCCCTTTCCAGAGTGATATTGAAAATGTTGAATTACACTGGCCCAATTTCAATTAAGAGCAGTAGTATTTTAATTTGTACTAAAACGAAATGCTTACTTTATTGAAATTTTCAATTTGGGAATTATTATATTTGAAAATTTTTGAAACAGCTGCAATGGCATTTTCTGTGGCTGTATTATTTTCGGTTGATCGACTATCGGGTTGATCAATCATTTGAAACAATCGGGGTAAAATATCAGCACAAGCACGTGCATATACTGGGCCACCGTTCATACCCATCACACCAAAACCATAACTAGCAGCTTGACGGATCTAAATATTATAACAGAGACTAGAAACGCACAATAACAACCGTCAATGAATAACAACTGTGCAGTATGTTTTTTGAAAATAAGCTATTTTTCGTGGTCTTTTAATCCCCTTAATATAATCTCCTTGAAGAAAAAGAATAAATGTAGTAAGATATGTTTCAAAACAGTTCACCTACTTCTGGTGATGCATCTTGTACAGAATCGGCCATTCTTTGTAGAAAGTATTGTTGATAACGAAACGATGCTTGACCGGTATACTGAATAACATCATCCCAAACACAAAGAGACCATTGTCGATCAGATACACTTCGTTGTGCTTGTAATAACTGATAGAAGTGTGGAACTAACGTTTCAAAGTAGACCAAATAAGACTCGGAATAAGTGACTAACAACGAATGAATTATGTCTGAGAGACGATTTAGTATGTAAGCATCAAAATCATCCTAGAACGACAAGAAACAGACATAGTTAGTACAATTGACAAGATCGAGTCTTCAGTGCCACCTACTTCTTCTAACAGTTCTTCTTCAACTTCTTCATCAAAATCTTCATCTCGTCGTTTTTCTTGTCTTTCATCACACCGTTCAAAATGTTTTTTCAAATGTTGATCAAGAATTGTCGTCAATTCTTTTAATTCATCACCTGTTAAACACGATACACCCAACGTTTCAACACACTAAGAACAAACATAAACAGAACTATTAGATGAAGCAATAAAACACGGATGAAGTGTTTTCTTCAGAAATTACTGTCTGTGATTGACTTACTTTTCCCAGAGACGAAAATAATTCCCCCAATACTTCATGATCAGGTTCAATTTCGATTGCTTTAAATAATTCTTTATTCATATACTGCCACATCTGTCTCACATAATCATCACCACGTAATTTCGCACATTCTAATAGATGAGGCAATGCTTCAGCAGCTGCAGCACGAACACCTAGAATGAAATAAATAAACCCGATTAATTACAGATAGCGCCATTTTTCTAACAATTTGGGCTAATGAAAATCAGTAGAGAAGAAAAAACATTTTATTGAGAACTATTTCACACCCAAACAGTGACACTATAATCGGTTCGTCAGCCTAATTATATTTAGATGTTGAATACTCAAATCCAATGGAATCCAAAGGAATCGAATGGAATCCATGCACAAAACATGCTTTGGACTAGTGCGCTAAGTATATGCTGTATACTTAACAAAGATTAATCGATTTGAATCTGTTGATAGATAAATGAGGAGAACGGCTCGATCGCAATGCTTTTAGTGGAGGTAGTGTGATCCTATGAACTACAACTCAGCAAACAAACAACGAGTCATCGATATATACATATATCAATAACTACAAACAAATCGAATAAAGAAAAACGAAAAAGAGACATCAGCATGGAAACCTGAGGGTAATACAGATGGTGTCCTTTGACAGTTTTAGAAGTTTATTCAAAATCTAGAGGAGTTCTAAGGAAGCGAAGAGAATCCTATGGAATCCTAGAGAATCCTTGGAATCCAGGGGAATTCAGGATTCCGTGCTTTCTCCCTTGTGAATACTGCATATGTTTTACCTTCGTGAAAGTAGAATCTCAATAACGGTACCATTAATCTTGTCGTTTCTTCCACATAATTAACAAAACCTTCTTTTAATTCTCGTGCATAACAAACCAACATACTACATGCGCTTGATTTTTCTTCTAAACCACTTGTTTTTATGCCAAATGCCTAAAAACCAAACAGTACTATTGATCATTATACTCACTTACATATTTATTCATTACGACAGTACATACCTGATCACCAACATTGAGCACTTCCCAATTATCATCTTCTTCAACATCAGTTTCACCATCTAAACAAACATACATTGTCAGTATTAGCAGTTCAAAAGGAACTATTAGTATTTGTTGGACAAGAAGAGCACAACACAAATGAAATAACAAAAGATCTACGCTGTTCATTTAAACTATGAGAACATTCTTTTTTCCAAAAACAAATTTTCATTCTAATTAAACATTATAATCGTTCAGAAAATATAAATAGGTAAATAAGAGTATATTTTACCAGCTAATACGGTCACTTCTGGTTTGAATGCAGCTGCTTTCAATACTGGTCCCATAACAATTGGTAAATATTGTTCAAAATCTTTTCCCAATATTTTACATATTCTCGTCCAGGCACCTATCAAATAGGCTATTTGTGGATCATCATTGCCTAAATTTTCGAAATCAACTTGCGTTTTAACTAAATCTTGCATTATTTCATAACAATCATTAATGAACTATAAAGAAAAAACAGAAAGAAAAATGTCTAACAAATGATACTTAGAATTTGGTGATAAACGTACGCATATACCTTTTCTTTTCCAACAGCCAAACCAATCAGACTAATACATTCCATTGTTTTGCCTCTTAACATACGATAGTCGGGTGCTATAGCATTTTTAAACAAATACTTTAATTGAGGCATAAATCTAGAAAACAACAGATAAGAATCGTTCAAGATTTATAAACTATATAAATACGAATGAATTACCTATCGTAATAAGGCGAAAAATCTTGTGCAACAGTATCGGCAATAGCAGCTAATGTTGTTACAATTTGTTCAAGCACTAATTTTCGATTTTGTGTGCATAACTACAACATGAAATTGGTAATTTATTTCTCTACTTTTTCTTTTTAAAATGTTGAAATTCGTACCTCTTGATATTTTCTCAATAATACTTGATCTAATTTATCGATAATCATTGGCAAATGTTCAACTAACAGACGTTGTGGACAATCTTCGGCAAAATTCACTAAAGCAGCTCCGCCATGTGCTTGTGTACGAGGATTATCATGATCATCTAAGATTGATAATAGACCGGGTATAACCTAAAAGAATAAAATACAAAACATTAAAATCATCAAGTAAAGAAAGGAAAATGAGACTTCATTTACCACTGAATGAAATTTTTTCTGGAAGATTCCTTGAAAATCTGTGGACATCTGACCCAATGCATTACATGCTGCGTAACGAACACGAGGATGCTAAACATAAACAAACAATAGATACAAAATGACCAAGTTTTCGCATGTGTGATAAAACATGAACAAACATCAAACAACAGGATGCTGTTCTCCGCGTGACGTCCACTAACAAATTTTGGCATTCACGCTTGGACAATTTTGCGACTTTTCATTTAGATTTTTCGTTACGAACAGATTCATATTATTTTATACTTACTGAATCTTTTAAAAACACCAATATTCCACTAACTAATTCATCTAATATATTTGACATTTCACGATGACAACCTTCACCCGTTGCTGACAAAGCCATCAAGCCGGCATGACGATAACGCCAATCAGCTACAGAACAGCAACAAAATTATTTTTAATTTGATAAAAAGACATTTTAGACACTTACGATTTTGTAACATTGTTTGTACAGCAGAAAGAATATATTGTAACATAGTTTTTCCACCCAGAGCACATGCAAGTCGATCTAACGAACTTTCACCAATTACAGCATTACTAAAACAATATAATAAAAGTTCAACAGTATAATTCTCATCTGTTCTCCATTTTTTTAAACTCTGATATTACGACTAATGTTGAAAATTAATTATCTTCTTCATTATTCGACATACCTATCATCTTCCTCGTCTTCAATCGTGTCTTTGGTTGACCATTCTTTATCATCATCTAAATCAACCATCATTTCTAATAATTGTGGAACTAAAAGAGAAAAATATTGTATGTATTATTATCATCGATTATTTTCTTTTATTTCAATTACCTAAACGGTTCATAAATTTTCTCGCTACTTTTCGTACCATTCCACTGGCTGTTTCTGATAATGTAACAAGTACTTCTAATGATAAGTGACGGCGTGTTTCTTCGAAATTTTCATTTTGCATGGACTGAATGAATATAATACAAATTTAGTTTCGTAGTTATAAATATATCTATTCAGATAGAGCATACCTGAAGACATAATTCAAATATTTCATCAATGGATGGTCTTAAAAATTTGGGCGAGTTTTCTGCTATATCGATTAAAGCTTTCAAGACAGTATCCTCATCTGAATTTTGTAAACTATGAGTAACAGTCTAAAATAATAATACAAAAATGAACAAAGTACAGTAAAGAAATATACATCTGACGTTACCGATATTAAACATGATAAACAGTCTCTATAGACAGTTAATATTCGATTATCTTCGTTATTATGTTTGAGAAAAGCTGCTAAAGCTGTCGCGGCTGTATAACGAACCTAAATAAGAAGAAAAATACACTCAAACACATAAATATTCTTTATCAACACTTACTTTCACATCAGGATTATTCAAACAACTCAGAAATATTTGGTGAATAAGTGTTGTTAATTGTTCAGCTTGACTACCAAATATACCGGGGAATGATCTAGAAGAAAAAGCATAAAATTCAATTTCAGGGTTTTATTCTATAGTAACTAAAACTGACAACTTACTCAAATATAACCAATGCTGATTCTTTTAATGAATTATGGTTGGAATTAGCGCTTTCAAACAAAAACTGTAAAACTTCTGGCCATTGATTTGTGTCGTTATCATCTATATTACAAAAATCAAACATAAAGACATGCTCTTTTCGATGGATTGCATGATTTCTCAGTAACACATTCTCTACAAGACCATTTTTTACATTAGGAACTAGAACTATTTTAGTTCTCTGGAAAATTTAGTCCAGTTTAGGTTTCCACTGGCATAGATTTATGGCGCAGATCAGAGATCGTCACGGACCGAGAAAACCTATGGAAGCCCACGGATCGGGTCGGGCCTACGTTATTGAATCTTGGTTACGGGCCGAACCGGGCTGCAATTTGATGGCCCGCATGCGAGCCCAGCCTTTTCCCCAAAAAATCGATAAAATTACAAGACAACACTCATATTAAATGTGAGAAAAAAACACTATCTTCTCTTGAAAATATCGCTGACGAAGTTGACGGTCCTTTGAGTATCTGTTCTATAAGCTTATATCTGCTGATATATTACTGAAATCTAGCGCTTTTAATATCTCCTATGTTTCTATACTAATCTAGATTCTACGGGGTGCCTCGCGGGCCGGTCCGCAGAATGTAGAATGCATTTGGCCAGACCCGTACGAGTCGCTCCGAAAAATATATGCATTCACTCCGGACCGAACTGAGCCAAAATTCTTAAGCCTGGACACGGACCGGGCCGTAAAAACGTGGCCGAGACGATCTCTGCTGCAGATGGTTAAGTAAAGGCTTTTCACTTCCTCTTGACTCGAGCACTGAGTTCGTAAGCTCCTACTCGCACCATCATTTCATGAGGATAGGATTTATCATATTCTTACCCATTAAATTCTTTGCTAATTCTGCCACAATATTGCAGATCTTTTTCCTAATGGTTTCGTCATCATCAATATGGCTGATTCTTAACAATAACTCTTTTTTCAATGCTCCCTGTTGCTCTTGACTAAACTTCGGCCAAAATGCTTCAAAATTTGTGGAAAATAGACGTCTCAACATCACAGCAGCAAATGCACGAATCTAAATAAAAATATTTTTAATTTCTTTTCTATCAAATTTTTTCATATGTTTATTTACTGGTGAACTCAATTGTACATTACACAATGCACTCATTAACAATATCGTTTTTTGTTCATCGGGAATTTTTTGATATTCATCCTAAATGGGAGGTAAACGCATTATTAAAATATCATATTTACACATCGTAAGAGAAAGGTAATTCTTCAGCAGATTCTTATTGAAAGATAACATCTCCAACCTATTCTTCTGCTAAAAAGTAATCTTTTATTATCAAGGTTAGTGTTCAGTAATTAAAAACGTCTATGAATAATATTCCTATATAAAAAATTCTTTTCTGTTAAAACGTCGTTAAACTTCTGAACTATTTTTCTAAAATTACAATACACTATTAAGGCCAAAGTTTCTTTCCTCGAAGCAATTCGTTTTTCTCCAATACTTAAACCTTACTTCAGCTGCCTGTCGTTTAAAATTATCGGCATCTAGACAACTTTGCAGTGTATTCAAGAACGCTTGGTCGTCCATTTTAATCTTGTTTTTTTTCCCTGTGCCGTTTGTTAATTAATAAACACGAAAAAGAAATAGATTAGATGTTAAAATCTAGAATAACAAAAGACATTTTGTTTCATTTTTGCTGATTCTCAAATATTACAAAGAGAAATAAATAATAATAAGGCTAACATCAGAAATCTAATAACTGAAATATGAAAACTATTTATTCGACTCAATGGTTCTCTAATCTCGCGTGCTAAAAAGCAGTAAGCCATAAATTGTTGTTTTTGTTTTTCTTCTTTCTTTGTTCGATACGATGCGTCATGTACTTTCTTCTCTTCAATTAAATAGCCAATTATCAAATATCTTAGTATTGAATGCCTTCTGTTTTATAGACAAGTCTGGCAGGCTAATTTTACTACAATTAGACCAAGTGAAACATGAGAAGAAGAGAATTTACCGGCTAGTTCCAAATCTCTCTGTAGCCTTGCGGCGCCACTATCTGAGCATTTTGAAGCAAGAGAAATAACAAGTCTTCCATTTTCGATTTTGATACAGATTTATTCGTTATTCTTTTCGTTTACGGTTGTGTGATCGAATTCTGATCACACAGAACAATGGATACATTCCGAATTAAGTCATTCATACCAGAATCATGAAGACTGAGAGCCAGTCAAATCGATATTTTATAATTAAAAGTAAATTATCATTATTTTCTTGAATTTTTCGTTTCCTGTCAATGCGCACAGTTCGTTCCCTGAACGGCAACAGTGTGCAGAAAGCTTAAAGATCAGTTTCAGAAGAAAAAGCTTCGTAGCATCCTAATCTCGATTTGAAAAACGCAGTTGAATTCTTCCACGAATGAACAATGCTCCTCACGTCTTTCTTGAAAACGATTTCTACCTTAGAAACTATTATACTACAATTGTAGATGATGGTATCCATTAAATGTGTATCATTTGCATGATCTCAAAATTTGGCTTTTGTCGATTTTACTTGTTTCTCTGTCATCTGTATTTATCATCTTTTTTTAAAACGTTTTTCCGTCGTAAAACACAATGGCCTTTCGGATTATCTTGTTTATAGAAAAACAAAAATGTATTGCAATAAAAAAACAAAATAATCACTTTTTGCGAGTTAACAGCAGATTGAATTTCTATAAGCAGTTATTTCTGTTTATGTTAAATCAATATAATCAAGGTGTAAGAAAGAATCTCTTTTCCTCACCTTTTTAAACAATATTTATCAAGTTTATTATTCTTTTTATGAGGCTCATATATTGGTTCAGATTTCTCCTACTTTGTGCTAGATGAGAAAAGAATTGAACAACAATGAAACAAGAATGAAAACAAGATCGTTAGTATACAAAATGATAAGAGTTATTCTTTACTTGCTTTTCTCCAAATATTTTCTTTTATGTTTTTGAAAAGGCAATTTCTAGCTTATATTAGACGCGAGAAATTTTGATTAAAGACCGATTGTATTATTCTTCGCTAGCTTATTTTCTATGATGAGATAGTATATTTATGTGCAATGATGTTCTGTGACTGTTTTATTATACTTTTGAAATGTTCGTATTGTTGCATACTTATAGTCTAACTATTACTCGTTTCCTACAAGGTTCAAGATAATTACATATCGCTTGCCGGAAATCACGCTGAATAGGATTATTTTCTTTTTCTACTGTACCGGATGTTTGTCTGTCCATACTACTTTAAAACTGTCCTAGTTGGAAACAGTGAACTATGATGGATGGGTGAATACTATATAGTAAATACGAACTAAGTCGTTCCTAAATTGAAAATATATACATATTCTCTCTTTTAGTCTAAATATGCTCTAATTCACAAGTAATCTATTTTTAGCAAACTATTTTTGATTTTTAACCATCATTGCTTTTATCAAGACAAACATCTGTCTAATCAATTATGAGACTTTTTTCTGTTCAGATAGAGCCGAATTGAGCTTCGTTTATATTATTATAATCATTTCAAATTATTAACTTTCTATCGTACCGATCAATAATAAATTTAAATTTTATTCTATAGACTATGAAGATATGAGAAGCTGATAGTGTTTTACACTCCAAAGAAAGAAAATATGCGCGACACTAATACAAAAGTTTAATGTTAAGAATTTTTCGGTATTTAATTGAATTTATTACTCAACGTTCTGCAGTTTTTTTCAATAGAATTTCTTATATGCAAACTCATCATGTTTTTTGCGAAAATGATCTGCTATGCAGTGCCTCAGATGTGTTGGGCCGAAAACGTGTTTCGCCAATAATAAAAATTACATGTCCGCCTGCTCTGTAGAAAATGCACACTGTGCAGTGGTTGCAAGGGTGAAAAGTACAAGTCGACTTTCGAAATATACACAAGAGTTAGACAAAAATTTGGTTAAAAAGTTAAGTTTGTTTTTTTAAGAACATCATAAGTGCCCAGATCGAATAATTCTATGATAATTCCCATCGGAATTCTGCAGGAATTCTATGACATTTTGTATAATTTCCATAGAAAAGTGATAGGTATGATCATCGAAAAATATCTATAATTTCTTATAGCAAAATTCGTATAGGACTCTTGTAGGGTCGTAATAGGATCGGAAGTAAGATTATATAGAATCCTAACATAGGAAATGGCAGGTGTTCACTGGAACTCTATAGGTATCATAAGATTTTTCGACTAGTTAGTCTTGTCCAGCCGTGGTTCTCTAGCTATTTTGACAGATATTTCTGTGAGCTGTACTTTATTCCTTGACTGAGCGAGAAAAATTTCTCAAAAGTCTCAGTGCAATACATGTTCTTTATATAGAGTTATTACTGAAAAACAAATCGATGAATGGGAAATGCATAGGAAAATGGTGAAGTTTCTAGGGTTGAAATTCTGTCATTTCTTGCCGTATGATCTAACGATTTTTTATTACAAGGAACTGGTAGGATCTTAGTGTATGATTTCTCATAGGAAATATCACACATTCGTAAGAATATCACAGGATTACTTATAATAGAATTCTATCTTATCCTACGTAAGCATTCTTACATTTACCTACAGGTATAAGATATCAGGATTAGGATTTTCGGACCTTGATAATTCATTAAAAAATACTTAAAAACGATCCCAGTTTTCTGTGGATATGATTAATATGAAAAATAAGTATTGTTATCGATCAATCAGAGCATTTTCTAATTCAATTAGTACTTGGGACGTAGAACAAATAATTATTCTATTTTTATCTTTTCCCTGCAAAAAAAAGCATGTATTTAATCTTATTATTCTTTCTTCCTTGTACCATCATACATTGTCAAATTGCATCTCAGATAAATTCTGCTCGTCTTCACAATTTCCAACAGGATATTTATTATGACACAACTTATCTCACCTCATATGCTGATGATACGTTTCGCATTCTTATTACCTATGAAGGATGTATACCTGCTTATATAGAAAAGACATCAGCAGAATTATCACCGTCATTATTACAGATAAAAAATTCAGTAGATCAAACGGTCACAGAGAGAACAAGAAATACGTTAACAATGGATGATACATCAACAACGTTAAATTTGACCGTAAATACTACTACCCTACGGTAAAATCTATACACCAGAAGAAAAAAAAACTTGTGAAAATACCATTAAATGTTTGATCATCTAATATGTACTTTGTACATGGATTTGTATCTAAAAATGATATCATAAGCTTAGATTTACGTTGCTCAAAAAGCCTTATCTTACCACGAATAGTACATCTCAGATCCAGAGTATTTTATCGTTATATCTGTTTTCTTCGTCACATCGTTTAGAGTAAATCAAACTAGTGATAATATGTTGATGAGTATGGCATCTACTCTATCGATGTTACGATCAATAGACATAAATAGTACAAGCGAAAGTAGAATGGATGCTATATGGGGCTATAAAGAAACAGCCGCAGATTATGCCTCTTCATCGGTTGCACAGGTTAATTTAACATATTCATATAATACAACTATCTTTAGTTCAACGATCATCAATCGTTTAACCGCAACAATATCAAGAGAACAAGAAAGTATTTAAAATCTGAGACGGTAATTTTATCTAAGGTCTCTTGCTAAATCAGTAATTCTTTTCAGTAGGGAAAAATATAACTATGTGTCAAATTTCAATACGTTTTTGTGCTGCTTAAGCGATAACTTCATCACTTTATTTCATTACTCTTTGAGGTAATCAAAATGAAGTGTCAAGAACAATGACAACCACAACCAAGGTGACTATAATAGATTTGACAGCATCTTCGAAAAGGTCTTAAGATGATAATCTTCAGACACCTTATTTTTCTTCACCAACATCTACAACAACACCTTTCTTTTTTTCTAAGATGCATTTATTAACAACGATACTTAACTATGACTTCAAAACACCAGTATTAAACGAAATATTATATGGCTCTGATAATTATACACGCATATTACCATCATTTCGAGCATCATTGAACAAATCGCCATCAAATAGAAACAGGTTTTTATTTCGATTCGCTCCTAAACACAACGTTATTTTCGCTCTCAAAATAAATCTGCAGTTGTGCGAAATACACAATAGTTTGTATAATATTTACTTTTAGTTCTCGACTACTCTTCTCACCTTATCTACACAATCATAGACAAGCAATGTCTCCAGCCGTTAAGGCAAATTTCGATGCGATATCAGAAAAAGTTCCAAAACTGAGAAAGTTCTTATCGTATAATTATCCTGACATTACAAGAGTATCCGGAAATATACAATACAATTCGTGGCAAATATCGCCAGTCGTTAAAGAAAATTTGAAGAATCTAAAATCCAAACTTAACATTGAAAGTAGGTAAGGGTAGACTCAACGTACAGCAGCATTTGACTGAGAAAAATTCTGAATCATATGAATTGATCAGTATATGTTTGCTTAGAATTTTGTAAATACAGTTCGTTTTTCAAGCTCACCCCCGTCAAACAATCAATTTATTTTCCTAAAGAATTTTACATCAACAGCGTCTCTCGATGTTCTCAAAAACTTCGTACAAAGTAAAAATAATTCAAGTTCCATTGAATCTACGTTGTTAAATCGATTATTGACCTCAAGATATCTATCGCCTGTTAAATCGGTTCCGGCAACGCTACCTATAATATCATCTTCAACTGCAAGACCATCAATCCAAGCATACAGATCTCCTCCTACGCGGACTGACCAGAATGAAGACAATGAGCCTGAGTGGAGACTACAATATAGCATGGAAGGCTACGGGTCACTACTAATCCCAAGTACGTGCATCGGAAAATGTATTAAAATAAAAGCGAACTATGCTGGTTTACAAGAATATGAAATCATACCACCACCTTTAACCACAACTCAACAGAATACAAATACAGGTAAATAGATACTCGCCTTTTCTTTGTGATGCTTTCTTCTGAATAATTGCATTTGTATTTTTACTTGACTTGTGCACTCATGCTGGCCTGTAGATCGCAGTTTAGAAATTTTGAGTCCAGTACAGCTGACAGAAAGTTTTCGGATAATTTTAGCTACTGATACATCAACCTCTAGTACAACTTTAACATCATCTTATTATATCAACTCCATCTGGGATCACATAATACCTCCACCAAAGAAGATAAATATACCAGTATCAGCAGATACACCACAACGAATCGGAACTCCACCATCATCATTTGTTTCTCAGCACGTAACAACTACTGAAACAAAAGAGGTTCTAAATGTAAGAATGAACTGTTCAATTGTTCAGCACTGTTCGTTTCACATAATTTCAGAGTTCTCCTCTAACAACAACCACAATATCACCAATATCTGTAATCCCGGAGGATATACCACCCACAGCACCAGTTCGAAAGGTTGTCGCAGCTCATAATCCAACATACCTTCGTTTTATTCCGAATGCAACGCACATGTTCTCAACCAGGCCCTATCTACTGTTCGATCAAAAACTGTACAATTTTAAGAATATTTATGATGCATTATCATCATTGAAAAATATTTTACGTGAATATTCAAACGTTATTGTCCAGTTGCGGAGACCAAAAACTAAAATTGGTCTGGGAAATGCAACGGAATTCAAACTGATTTTAGACAACAGAAAAGTTCATCAAACTTCATTAAAAAACGAACAAAAAATAATAAATGAAAGTGATGTTAATCGTGCAGTAGAAGTGAGCAACTATTAAAAGTGATAGCGGGCGTGTAGTAGTATAAATACAACCTGATACAGTAAACACTTCTGGTTATAAGTTTAATTTAATCTTTTCGTTGTTGAAATAACGTTGAAGAACTTCACTACAGTTTTTTTGAACGTGTGTCTTGTTCTAAAAGTAATGCTCAGTACGGCTAAACCTTTTAATTTCCAGAATTTATATTAAAAATTCTTTCAATTTGTAGAATTTGAATAGAATGATGAATATTGAACAGGAATTAATGAATGTAAGGAATGCTTTTACTGCTCGTAAACTTGGTGTGGACATGACAGTCAATGGAACAGCATATCCTACGCTGAGAGCAGCTCCACCCAGCCAAAATCTAGAAACAACAACAAAATTTAGTTTTTTACCGATTTTTGAACCAAACACAAAAAATATCAATGAACGATATTTCAAAAGTATATGTTATTGCACAATGTTAAATAGGACAATTAAACGTGCTAATCATTCACAATGTCGGCGTTTAATCAAATATAATTCTACAGAATTTGACTATGATTATATGTACGGAAGTGAGAAAAAAATGGCCATATTCAGAATTAATTATACTTACAATATCAATTATGCTGCTATTCCATTCAGTAAGTAGAGATATACAATGCTAATACTCTGTTTAAACTGATATATTTTTTATCCTGTTCTCATTCTAGCTGAACCACAATTGATAAGTGATTGGGAAGGCTCATTTGATATAGTGGAAGGGGATAACTTTTATCGTGTTTGTATAGTGAATGGTCAACCAAAGCCCACCATCTACGTGTCATTTCATAATGTAAATGGTAAAATGTATATGCAAAGTGTTCATGTCAACATTACATATGCTCTGCTAGAAGATAGCGGATATTACGTATGCCATGGATTTAATTACTTAAAGTCAAAAAATTGGACGTTTAGATTGAATGTACAAAGTAAGCAAAAACCATTTTTCTCTCCTGATAGATTCATGAAACATAAAGATTTATCATTGAGGCGCTCCTTGGTTTCAACAGCATGTACCTACCCATGTGTACGCTCAAAAAGGTTCTCGTTTACACATTCCTTGTCGTGCATTTGGAAATCCACAACCATTTATCTACTGGATGCATAAAAGTCGATTTCATGACTTTTTACCCGTTCATTATGAGATATTGGATATTGCCTATGTAAGTGTTATTGCATCCATTCCTGGATCGAGTTTCTTCTAAGTGGTAACTTTCCTTCTCAGGTTCGTAATATACATGAAGGTGTTTATCGTTGTCGTGCGACAAACATTCACGGTATAGTAGACGAAGATATGGTATTACTTGTTGGTCTCACTCGAATGTTGTTACCTCAAGGTATTTCCGATTAGTGATTGTATTACCTTCTTTGTACATAGTATCTTCGTTTAGTATTTTAGATAGTCTCATATTAGTTTCACAGTGGATATCATCCGTCTACTTACCAAATAATTATTATAATTTTACTCGTATATGCGATGTACAAGGATATCCACCGCCTGAAATAAACATCATATTTCATAGTAAACAAGGTTATTCATATTCACTTAACAATGATATATTGCAAATAAATCGGGTAAATTGGATGCATACTGGCAACTATTCATGTTTTGCAACCAGTTCAGTATCAACAAAAGTGTGGAACTTGACGTTATATGTGGCAGGTGAGAAAAGATGTCTCAGTTGAGAAACATAGAAAGCGATCAGACAGGTAAGGAACATGCCTCAGATAACTTCAGCAAAATATATGCACGTATATATATGTTACAGGGAATGGAAGGCACTTCGGACTATTTACCTATGTAAAATGATCAATAGATTGCTACTTTAATTACTGTCTTCCTTTAATATCTTTGAACCGAGTCGGTTTTCCAAAGATCGGATGAAAAACCGACCTTTGAAATTTTTTCAAAACTAGTTTTTGCTTACAAAAACATGTCTTAAAGTCCTGGCTATACAATGCTGTAAACCGTAGGTTTCTATCTGTTTTCTGACAAAAGTTATTCAAGAAATAGCCACGGGCACTGTTTTTGAAACGGATAGTAGAAAGAGATAAAATATATATGATTAGATTCACTCAACTTTTTATGCTCTTTACATACATGGCATTTATTTTGAATAAAAACATTACCTAGTGTCAGAAAAGGTTGAGATATGATGACTTTTGTCTACTTGGCATCAACTCCGTTTAAAAAAAATGATGCACAATTTTTTGCGTTTGGTTGTTTTAGGTCCACCTTACAGGGTTCTTCCTGATTTTGCATTTTCTTACCCAATTGAACTGCGCCAAGGCCAAAGTTGGACAACGACATGTAATGTTGAAGGATATCCCACACCAAATTACACCTGGTATTTCAGATCATATCACCCAACGATGGATGAGCAATATTTGATATCCGATAAAATTTTGCAGTTACTAAATGTAAACAAGACAAATACTAAGCTACAAAAAGTTTCACCAATATTATTTTCAATTTTTGATTCATTGTCGTAGGTTCAAATGTCACAGTCAGGTCATTATCTGTGTTTTGGTCGTAATATGTATGGTGTCGCGTATCATTGGATAGAAGTTCACATCAGTAGTAATGGACGTAAGTTTAATTATTTTTTCGAAAAGAAAGTATTTAAAATGAGATTTATCTGTTTCTTCAGATCCTGACATTTCTCCGTCAACACATCATCATTATGCTTTGCAACATGATGATAGTGTGGATATGGCTGATATTCATCACCATAGTATCGACAATCATTTTCACCACCATTTACCGGATCTGTACTTAGACCAAAATCACTTCTCTCATCCTACGACAGAAGTTATAGATATCCATCACAACAGTGACAATCATTTTCATATTCACACACCCTTTCCAGCTTTTCTATCTCGAACATTCTTTTATAGGCCAACTTACAGACGACGACTTCGATGGCCAAGAAAGCAGGCACATTTTGATTCGCTTCTCTCATCTCAACCTATGTCAATATCTCGTAGAAAAAGAGGTGTCCATTGAATATTGCTTCATTTTCTTTCAATGGCAAACTTGGATGGATGCAGGTGGAACCCAATATGAAAGAAAAATCTCCCATTTTCTCCAGTAAAAGAAAATTTATTTTGATGACTTTTCCCTGCATCTAGAAGGTTTTCTAGATCCACTAGTGTTTCTTATATTAACCGTTTTTCACATGCTTATTAGTTATTTTTCTACAATTTTCAGCAGTTACAAGTACTGAATAGTCAATGTTGTTTATTGTGCTTTTATATTTAATCAAAATGGAATTCATCATACATTTTTCTCATACACTTTCAGTGCTCTTTTTAGAATATATGATCGCAACACTGCAAGATATGTATTCTATTTTATTAACATATTTTTCTGCTACCCGTTTGTGATGGAGATGTAGACCGATACGGGAATTCCTGTGCCTGTGTTTTATGTTTAGTGATCGGTATGTTCTACTATCTAGCGTGTTTTCATTCATTATACCAGTCTGTCGTGTTTGAAAGAAGAACGATGAATTTCTTGTATCTAACTTGACTGTGGGAATCAAGCTGTTGAGTTAGATTTGTTCTTCCAGATGATCATGTTGTTGATAGATGGACTAATCTGACAATCCAGTTTTGAAAAAGACCGCAAATGATTTTAAAGAACCCTACTAGTTTGAAGTATTTTCTTCTTATTCATAGATATTTATTAATATATTGATCCTTCCTGTTTTTGATAATAAATTTATTTTTATTTGTTACATTTCGACGTCGATGACATCGTCTTCATTCGTTTCTATACCTCAGAAATATAGAATATGAAACTGTTCTATTTCTGTTCGATAGAAAATGCCATAAATAGTGTGTTGCTAGAAAAGTTCATAATGAATCGGCCTCATTAGCTACGCTACTACCAAGATGGCTATGTGATTTAATTGAGAACGGCAAGTTCTGAAATCGAATGAAATAATTGTTTCAGGTTAAACCCCGACAAATAAATGCAGCCATTCTGGCCTCAATAATTTTATGCAAGCGAAATATTTTATTCAATTGATGGAAAACCATGTATAAAATGGAGTATAAATGAAATTTTTTTGGAGTTGTTCAATCAAACTCCCGCCCACCCTTGCCAAAACTATATTGAAAACGCTGTTTATTACTATTTTCGAAACAGATAAATGTTTTGCTTTCAGCTGAAGTGTTTGAATGAATCAAAACGTTTTCTCTGAAGGTAAAGCCACATTTCCTTTATTTCTTTGAATCCGTTATTGATGGGTAAAACTTGTACAAGTGTTCGTCAAGAAAAAAACGAGATAAAAGAAGAAAACCTAGCTCATCTTGCGATTAGTGTTGTAATCAGTTGCAATACTTGTCCATTTTCATCATAGTCTGTTATTATGAAGCAAAACATACATTATTCGGCTACATTTCAGCACGTAATATTCTCTTGTCGATATTACGTTTTCTCATTATCTGCATGAGTGTTCATTTGATGATCAGTAGCGTTACTATCATCCGTATTTTCTTGCTTGTCGTCAATAAAATGAGTTCATTCATGGTAATGATGTGCATGTTGTAACAGTGCTCATACTTTCTTTCATGGATCACAGAGACTCGTAGCAACAAAAAAGTTTGCCCTACAGGATTCTAATGACGGCTAGCTCGATATCTCAACCATCGAAGATGGTTACCCATCTTTTTACTATTGTTCACTCAGTGCTGTGAGCTGAACGCTAGACAAACGCAGAGTTAAAACAGACAATAAAAATCGTTAGTCATCGGTTGTTGTTTATTTTAATATCTAATAATTTAACATTAAGATATGTTCAAAGAAACTATCTTCTGTGTTTGCTTTCAAAAATAATTATGATTGATAAACATGGCGAGCGTTATCTTCTGATTTTTAATACCCGTATATAACTGACAAGTATGTTATATCAGTCAAAGAGAAGCTCCTCCGTGCACAGAAAACATACAATACTCATTGTATATTATATTCAGATATCGACACTATTTCTCTTTTCTGTCTGTACTCAAGTCAGTATAATACATATGGCGAGTAAACGTAAGTTTCTTTTCTTTTAGAAAATGAATCATGTTTTGGTTCCATTAGAGAATAAACAAAGTCGCATGCTCGTAGAAATAGCAGTAACAACTATCCTTGTTTTAGTATTGTACCAGTTCTTACTCTCCTCTGCCTAAATATCAAACTATGACCTTCTGATAGTTTCGCCCATCGCACTTTTTTGGGTTGAGAATTTGTCCTACCCATATCAGGCATTTTTCAGAAAATTCTACTCTAGACTGACGTTCTTTTGAGGATGACCTACTATTTTGAGGAGGGTTAAACTACCTCATTTTTTACTCTTCCCATAAAGGATGTTTAAAAAAATTATAAACTATCCTATTATATAATTATATAATCCGTATTAAACTTCATTTGTTGTAAAACTATATTATGATTAAGTTTGACAAAAACTGAAGCATGTGATATGATCAAATGTTTTGAGTTATTACTACTTTTCAAAATAGAGATCATGGATAGTTGCTTTATCAGTAAGATCGAGTTTTGTGTTATTGACTTTTAGTTCAAAATGTTCGAATTGGACTTTTGGGTGCTGGTCGTATGGCTCAAGCGATTATTCGAAGTCTTATTGATAGTAAAACTGTTTCATCTAAAAACTTAATTGCAAGTGATTTGGATACAAATCAACTAAATATGTTGAAGGTTATTATTGTTTTAGTTTATGTACACGTACATCTTAAAAGTTGAAACTTTTTATTTAGAAAGAAACTGGTATACGTACAACACATAAGAACAAGGAAGTTGTATCAGAGTCCGATATACTCGTATTGGCTGTTAAACCAAAAGATGTAGAAAATGTTTTGAAAAATATTTACTCTACGTATGAACCACACACACATTTGTTGGTATCAATTGCAGCTGGAATTCGAACAGCAACTATTGAACAGGTATGCAATAGTGTAAATGTATTGAATGTTCAATCAGAGTGATTGATGTTTTAGCAACTGAAACCAAAGTGTCGTGTTGTTCGCGTAATGCCAAATGTGACATGTATGGTAAACGCCAGTTGTAGTGTTTATACACGCGGTACACATGCGACAAAAAGTATGTACAGTTACATATTTCTGGTGTTGATTATTATCGATTCTATTTATTTGTAGCTGATATTGATACCGTGCATGAAATGTTTTCGGCAATTGGTACTTGTGAGGGCGAAGTGGACGAAAGTTTATTAAACGTTGTTACTGGATTAAGTGGGAGTGGACCAGCCTATGTACGTCATCTCTCTTGGACTTAAATTTGCAATTGTATCTTTTGTCTGTCACTCAATAGTTTTCAGTTATTATTGATGCGCTGGCTGATGGTGCTGTCAAGGCCGGTCTTTCCCGTACATTAGCATTAACATTGGCAACTAAAACAATGTATGGTACAGCGAAAATGTTGTTAGAAAAACAGATACATCCAACTCAATTAAAAGATATTGTTGCTAGTCCAGGTTAGGCGATAGGCTCATTTTCTTTAAACGTACTTTCATTTTTCATCAGTTTACAGGTGGAACTACAATTTATGGTTTAGAAATTCTTGAAAAAGCTGGATTTCGGGCAGCATTGATGGAAGCAGTTACGAGTGCAACAGACAGAGCAAAAACATTGGAAACATGAGCAATAGCTCTTTTTTACTTTTTTGAAATAAAAAGCTATTTTATTTGAAAAGTGCTGTTAAGAAACGACAATAAAGTTGACCTTTTTTCGTTCTCTGCCAATTCCGGCTTTCTTGACTACTCATTCAAAACGAGGATACGCTTTTTCTTGTCGTTTAGGAATATTAACACGTTTGGTTTCGTTCCAATCGGTAACCCAGTATAGTTTATGTTTCTCTGTACTACTGATTAGTAGGCTGCCCAATGTTCACAGGTGATTCATCGTTTTGTTTTGCCGGACCCAGGGGTTTTGTACGCGTTCTATATTTTGGCACAACTGAAACAGAACGCAAGGTTTCAAGAGTTTTGCAAACAAATCTTTTATTGTGATATCAGTCAAAAATCGTGAGATTTACCTAATTCAAGAGAAAAAATTTAGAATCTTGTCTTATAATGGATAGACTAGAAATAAGTAGCCACTTTTGTAACACAGTTTTTGAGCTACTTCTACTCTCTGTAAAAACTTTTATTCTTTATTCAAAAGGTAGAGAATTCAAACCTGAACAAAATAGTGCATTTGATTTTGGTTGATTTGGGTGACGCCAGTAGTGTGAAAATCTGTCATTTGAAAAACTGTTCTAGCAAATTTGAATTTCTTGTCTTATGTTATTTACATCAGTATATGTACAGCTTTTAATAACGCGTTTTAATCAAAAGATGTGCAATTTTATGCTGTATCTACCTTAAGAGGGGTAATCATCCCGTTCTTTTTCATAACTTTGTAGAGCGCATCAAGCTGTATGTATCCTGAAGTGCTTTCAATGAACAGAGTTATAGTTGCTGAGAAAAGAAATTTTTATGAATTTCATACGATTTTGATCCTCCATCTAAAAAATTCAAAATTAAAGCTGGAACTCTTATTGTTGCGCAGTTCAACAGAGTACATTAAGTGACAAAGTTGTTCAGGATAATCCTCTCCATATGCTAAGTAGAGCACTGTTTTCATTTAAAAAGAATTTTGAAATAAATGCAATTTACATAAATTTTAAGTTAATTTAAAGCTCAAAGTTTATTATTTGTAATTTATTTCAAAATTTTCTCACTAAAATGAAAAAAGTGCTCCACTCAGCATATGGAGAGGATTATCCTGAACAACTTTGTCAGCGAAAATTTTTCATCAGAATGCTTCTTTGTCTTTGAAATCTGCGCATAAGCTTGTATACGAGATAATAAAAAGAATGGGAAATTTCCATGCAAGTGCGAATCCACATAATATAGGTTTTCACCAGGTTTTTGAATTCTTTTTGAAAAAAAACATTGCCACAAGACTCAGCGTGATGGATAATTCATGTTCCAGATTACCACGCCTAAGAAAATATCGGTCGTTTGGACATTCTTGATTATTTCCAGCTGGTGTCTAGCTGCGGTAACATTTTTCTGTTTTCTGCATAAACACACAATAATCAGACAATCCAATGCAGACATCGTTACACCAACCACCACGTAAATTAGTGCTGGTTTTGGATTAGGTTCATTTCACTGAACTTTCGTCACACGATTTCGATCGTAGTAACATGTGTACTTAGTAGCCTTCTATAGAAGAAGAAGCAAATGAGTATTTTTCCGACTTTGTTATCTAACACTTACTTTGTATTTCTGACAATTTCTTTTACCCTCGTTGTATTTGTCGTATTTCTCACTGAGAATAAACGCTGTTAAATGAGCCGACAGGTGTGGATATGTGATTTTATATTTTGGATAATAACATGTATCACTTCAAATTTCACTTGTTTGAACTGAACAATTTAATACTAAACACATCGATTGATTATAGGTAGCCAAGTTTCTCGATTCACAAACATAGGTACTTATGGATTCAAAACCTATAACGGGTAGCGAACCTAATGTAAACAACACACCAAGATAAACAGCTGCAACAAATAGCCCTATCAATATGTTAGATATGTCAATATATGTGAATATTCTTTTATTAACTCCCAACAATTACAATAGCTGCAAGTCTAGAGAGACAAGAAAGTTATCTTGTAGTTTTTTAGAATATTTCAACAATGATATCTATTATGAACCGCAGGCATCTCCAACTTGAATTGTTGTCCAATTTGAAAAGATTTGTTATCAATCTTTTGATTTCACTATCAAATATTTATCAACAATCACTGATGCATATAAAACTTCGAATCTCTTCCCCAATTGTGGGATTATAAACTACTTGGTTTATTTCACACTCGAATATCTGAAATTGTTCGGCATAAAGATCACGAATCAAAAATCCCCTTGCATTAAAAATCATTGATGATATGACACTGCATCCCATGAGCAACATCAGATCAGGTAATACATAATTGCGCAGTAGTTAAATGATATGACTAAGTTGGAAAAAACCTGTTAGTTAAGGATTCTTTAGCAGCATTAAAACTTCAATGTTTTCTGAGGCTTCTTTGTGTTTCCGTACCGCAGTTTTCTAAGAGGGTGAAAAATGGAAAGTGTTGAGGATAGTTGTATGGGCAAAGTTATAGATCCTACTAAGTAGTTTCTATCGTGAAAAATCTCGAAAAATTTTCGGAGCGTTTAGGAGAAAATCGACGTCAAACTTCAGGACTTTTTCAAGTAAATGCAGTATCATTCGAATGTAAAGTTAGATCAACACCAAATTCCTTTACCATTAGAATCAACTCGTCAAGAGCTACAAATTGATGTATAATTATGCAATGTTTCGTTCATTTTCACCGACTTCGGTTTCACCCTCACCAAAAACTTGAGATGTCTAGAAAACCACTTTCCACACGTTTTTTCAAAAAAGCGTAAGCGAGGCTTTTAAGTTATTTTTGATGCTCTACACGATGGGCAAAGTGAAGTTTTCGCCGCAAGATGCTCTGTATAAAGTGGGCGGACTTGTGTGGAAGCACCCGATACACATTTTGTAAAAAAAGTGACTAAAAAAAAATAATAAAATTACATAAAAAAACACATAATGTAGGCAGAATGCAATTGCGCTGCGCACAAGTTGCGATGTCGACAGACTCTGTCTCTGACTGAACCTACCGCTCCAAGCAGATCCTACCAGTAAGCTGTGAGCACTGCATTTTGGCTTTGATTTAGTCAATATATATATATATATATATATATGTTACGGCCAAACTTAGAATTCGGCCAGATCCCGAATTTGGCCAGTCAGAGTTAAAATTCCAGTTTTGATCGGCCAAATTCGGAATCTGGCCGAATTCTAAGTTTGGCCACAACATATGAGTATATATATTGAGTAAATCAAATCAATACAGATACATATATTTGACATTTCGTCTCAAGCACAAAGGGCGCCGGACAATCAACTCTTATAAATACACGAAACGTTTCGAAGCCCAAAATCTATGGCGTCGAATATGGACTTAGTTTTGAAAAAAGAATATGCATTGATCAATCGCCAATGTCGAGAGAATATCTAACCTTTTCCAGAGCTTATCTAGCTTTCATAGTTCTCTAGATTACGAGGTGCACATTTTGCCTAAAAAGGGACGAAAGAAAGAACGAAGAAAATAAAAAAACAAAAATTCCAGCAGAAACACATCATGTCTGTCGACATAAAAAGCAGATAGCTCGATCGGGATATCAAAAAAGATACACTCCGATTGGGTTATAATATCCCTATCGGGATATGCTTCATCACTATCTGACGTTTAAAGTAAAAAATGCGTTGACTCCAAAGTTTTAATTTTCTAAATATACGACGACGGACAGTTAAAAGTGATCTAAGTTTTTGGTATAATGGAGTCACTGTGCTATACTCTTGGTGTGTGTACTGTTCAAAAATGTTTTAAAGATAGGCTTCTGACCTGCATTTGATACAAAAAAGGGAACAAATGTTTGAATATTTCATTATCATTATACAGATTGTTTTCTGATTATGATAGACAAAAGCAAGTAAAGAAGTCCTCTTACTGTAGCGCTTCGATAACGTCCCTCCTTCTATTACATATAAAAAATTAAACAGAAAGTCACCAAACTAGCTCGTCCAGTCTAAAAGTTTTGGAAGTAGGGAATGTGAGCATCGTTTAGGAGACGTCCCAACTTCCGCAAAAGTTTCACTAACCTCCAGCAAGTTAACTTAAGTATATTCAAGTTAATTTTGTTTTATTTTATTTTGTCATTTCTCTTTTTAAAAAGATGAGAAGAGTTTTATTTTAGAAAAAGACATGTTTAAACAAAAAGACAAATTATAAGATAAAAGAACAATGAATGAAATTTGAAAAAGAAAGACTCTGACTAAATGACACCGGACAAAAAATAACAATCTATGTCCAACAGCCATTTTTTGTCCACTTACGGAGCTTATACCGCCGAGTTTGGACCTTTAATTAAGTAAAGAACGTGCAATGATCAATTTTCAGTTTCCGTAGAACACGGTCTCTTTTTCAAAACTTCTCTACTAGTAGTTTGTTGGATGATGGCGTTCTCTTTTCGCAAAAAGAGGTCGTAAAGAAAAAACAAAATTCCCAGTATAAATGCTAAATGTCTGCCGACATAAATATGACAAAACTGATTTTCTGCAATTAATTGAATTAATAGATCAACTTGATTGCTTCGACAGCAACAGTTCAATATAATTCGATTTTAAATTACTGTAATGTTGAAATAGAATAGTAAAATCGTACTGCCCCCAGCTGAAATTGGTAGATAAGTTTTCTGATGTTTAATTATTTCAATAGTAGATTCATGATGATAGTAACTTCGACTGCAAAGGTATTGGTAACGGTATGGTGACCGTTACAAGGAGGAGAAGTCTGTCTCCCTAATCATGAGATAGGGAACAGACATCTGCCCTTTAATACCCTCACTTAATTCTTCTCGATTAAAATAAATTTACCAGTCAACAAATGTTACATATTCGATTTTCATTTTTAAAAAACACAGTTATTATTTACGTATTATGCGAATCAAATTCAGCTGCGCACGTAATCAAACACAGAGTGTAGAAAAAATCTTATTATATGCCAACCATTTACT